TCGCTCACTGTCTCACTCACTCACTGCCTCACTCTCTTACTGCCTCACTCTCTCACTGTCTTACTCTCTCACTAACTGCCTTACTCTCTCACTGCCTCACTCACTCACTGACTCACTCACTCACTGCCTCACTCTCTCACTCACTGCCTTACTCTCTCACTGACTCACTCACTCACTGCCTCACTCACTCACTGCCTCACTCTCTCACTGTCTCACTCTCTCACTCACTGCCTTACTCTCTCACTGCCTCACTCACTCACTGCCTCACTCGCTCACTGCCTCACTCGCTCACTGTCTCACTCTCACTCACTGCCTCACTCGCTCACTGCCTCACTTGCTCACTGTCTCACTCACTCACTGTCTCACTCTCTCACTGCCTCACTGTCTCACTGTTTCACTCTCACTCACTGCTTCACTTGCTCACTGCCTCACACACTCATAGCCTCATTCTCTCACTGCCTCACTCTCTCACTGCCTCACTCACTCACTGTCTCACTCACTCACTGTTTCACTCACTCACTCACTCACTGACTTACTGTCTCACTCACCCACTGTCTCACTCACTCACTGGCACATTCACTCACTCTCTCACTCACTCATTGACTCACACACTCACCGCCTCACTGATGCACTCTCTGTCTCACTCCCTCACAGCCTCACTCACTCACTGTCTTACTCTCACTCACTGCTTCACTTGCTCACTGCCTGACTCACTGTCTAAAAAAAAAGAAGAAAAAAAAAAACCAGAAAAATAAATAAATAAATTAGGAGAGTCCACAAAACACAGGTTTACACGGCTTGATTTAAACTTAAATTAATCATTTGCATTAAAAGAAAGGGTTTTTTGTTTTCTTAATTAAAGCAAAATATTAGCCCAAGACTGGAACTTCTCCTCATTTGAAGACATCCTATTATTTTATTTATTTTTTTTTGAAGACATCCTATTATTAAAGTGATCATTTGTTTTTAGGAAAGCCCAGCTTTTAAAAGGGAAAGTATGTGGGCTTTGCTTTTAGGAACTATTATGTTTTGCCAGGTTACTTTTAAAAATCCTGTAAGGGAAAACCCATTCCTTTTCATATGTATAATTTACTCTGATTTTACAGTGCATTGAAAATTGGCCTTGGAAGTTTCATTAACTCCAAACTACCAAGGTACTCATAAGCCTGCTGGAAGACAATTAATTCACCTTTTCTAATAACATAATTTGCCACAAATTTATGTGTATTAATCATAGTTGAAATGAGATCAAAGTGTAGCCTTAGAACCCATCATTTAAAAATACATATATATTTACTCCACACCCACAAGGCTGACTACTATCATAAAAATGAATATTAGTGAGCATGTGGAGAAATTGGAGCCTTTATGTATTACTGGTAAGAATATATAATGATGCAGAAAACAGTCGTTATGGAAAGCAGTTCCATTCCAAGGTACAAGGGGTATCCCCCCCAAACACAGATTTTCCCCCCAAAGCTATATATTTACATTTTTTTACAAAACAACCTTATCACCTTCAGAGTACTCTCCATTACACTTAATACATTTGTCAAATCTGTGATTCCACTCTTGGAAACCTTTTTTAAACTCATCTGTTTGATTGGATGGCTGATAGCACCTCCCTCATTTTTTTTCTTCTCCTCTTCTATGTTGTCAAATCGCTGTCCTTTCATGTCCCTCTTTATTCGTGGAAACAAAAAGATGTTGCACAGAGCAAGGTCAGGTGAGTAAGGTGCATGTGGCAAGAGGCATGCTGGGTTTGTTTTTGCCAAAAACGTGCATGGAGATGGCTGTGTGAACAGGTGCCTTGTCATGGTGGCAAATCAGGTAAACTGTCTGCCACAAATCAGGCCTTCTTTTTCACATACAATCTTTTTAGAACCTCTAAATAGAAAGCTCGATTAACAATTTGACCTGGTGTAATGAACTTGGTGGCTTGATTGATGTTTGCTTTTGGGGTTGTAAAAATAGCACCATGTCTTGTCATCAATAATGACCTTGGGAAAAAGTCTGGTTCTCTTCAGAGCTGTTCTTACAAAGCACGGTATGCTTCTACTCGATGCTCTTTTTCCTGGTCAGTCAGTCAACCCGAGGCACAAATTTCACAGTGACTCTTCTCATTCCCAAATCTTCCATTACAGTTTGCCGAACTGAGCTCCAAGGTAGTTCAGGTAACATTCCCCTCTCTTCCATGGTCCATTGTCAGTCTTCGAGCACAAGTGCAAGCATTTTGTTGACATCTTTGTCCATTCAGGAAGTTGGCAACATCCAGAACGTGTTTGTCATCAATTGACATTTCACTTTTTTTGAAATGAGAAAACCACTTGTACACTTGAGTTTTTCCCAGAGCACTGTCCTTGTAAGCTGTGTTTAACATCACAAGTTTCTGTGACATTTTCCTGAGCAAGAAACAAAATTTCACAGCTGCATGCTGTTCTCTGAATTCAGCCATTACACACACAAAAAAATGATGTTTGAGTGAAACTGATTTTATAAAAAATTCACTGGGACCAGAGAGAACCTTCCCAGGTTATACCACTGGATGCACTAACTCAGAGCAAGTTGCTTGATGTTCGCCTAGCAGGGAAAATACGTACCACAAAAGCTCCACCCAGCAGAGCTTTTTTTCCATTTGGGGGGAGGTACCCTCTTGTATATATATTATTCGCAATAACTAAAAGGTGTCAATAATCCAAGTGTCCATCAGTAGACAAATAGGAAAATAAAATGTAACATATCCACACAATGGAATTTTACACAGTCATAATGAGAAATGAAGTTCTGCTACATGCTATGATTTGGATGGACCTTAAAAATGTGCTTAATGATATAAGACTACAAGAAGGACAACTAGTGTGTGATTCCAATTATGTGATGTATCTAGAATAGGCAGATGCAGAGGCAAGTTTAAGAGTAGTTCCCAGGGTCTGGGAGAAAGGGAGAATAAAGAAAACTGCTTGTGGACTTGAACTTCCATTTAGGTGACAAAAAAAAAACGTGGAAAGGGATAGTGGGATGGTTGTACAGCATAGTGGTGAATGAATTTAATGTCCCTGAAGTAATGGTTAAAATGAAAACCTTTTTATTATCTATATTCTACCATAATAATAAAGTATGTGTAGATATATTTATATATATGTACTGTCTTTGATGTTCAATAGGCCTGTGCCCCTTTGTATCATTGGAGAACTCTTAAACCAACACCAGAAATGGATCCAGTCGGCACTTGCTATGTTGCCATTCAGAATTTCAGTTCGTATGCTGAGTATTCTCCTTGCCGGAATAGTAAGTTGTTTTTATTTCTTGAAATGGAAAATTAACTCAAGAGCTTTTCTACTGTCAACAGGAATGCCATTGAGCTGAAAGTGCCAATGATAAATTCTGGCAGGACCTGGAAAAGGAGATGCAGGTCAAGGTTGATAGTTTTACAGAATATCTTGCTGTGACAGGAAGGCAAACTCCCAGAACTTTGCTGATTCTCCTCCATGTTTTAGAAAATTCGTGTGTTCAGATACTTTGCAGTGCAATTCATGAGTTTCTTATTTCAGCCAAGACTCACAGGTGCTGCTCAGAATTCCCACACTGTGATCTAGATCACAGAATGTCAACTGTCCATTTGTTAATTATAGGCCTTGTGTTAATAAACTTCTTCTACCTGAGGTCACTTTCAATGTGTGTTTTCTGAGTAGCTTGTATTCTCAATGGCGGTTGCTTTCTTTGGAGGCTGTGTACCCCTACAGTCTGAAATAAGACTTGTCTGTGTTTAATCCACATGCTTCAAAAAGACAGAGTCTAAGTTTCATGTGGCACTTCTAGAAAGCTTCCAGTGAAGCATCCATTAAAGCAAATCTCTGAGTGCCATCTTTGAGGCATTTAAACACTTCATCTCTGCGAAGTGCCCAAAGGCTTCGAGATAAAATTTTCAATTTTGGTTTAATTTACCCAGAGCTCCTTTGTATGCTCTGTCTAGTTTCCAGCAATGCAGATGGATTTTTATACTTTTTCTAGATCATTTCCAAGACCCCCTCCAGACAAGACATATTGAGAAAGGCCATTCCAATGACTGATTCCAGGTTACTGATTTTTTTAAAGCTCAATACCAAATGAATTGAATTCATAAAATGTTATGTACGCTTTCCCTATTGAAGATGGATATAGTTAGAATTTAAGATTAATGAGACAAGGTAATGGGAAATTATCAGAAATGGAGCAAAGAAGATAAAGTTTGGGTTAAAGTTATTTAGATAGTTGACAAAGAGGTCACTGATATTCAGAGTCCTAAAGGGGTGGGGGTAGAATAATTTAACTGATGGTTTGGGGTGGACATTTTGGCACAGAGATTGTGACTCTGTTTAAAAATTCCAAAGTCAATCCAATGCTGTTTATCATTTTGACAAATGTTGGACAAAGAGTCAGTGAAATAAGTATTTTATTTTGCATAGTCCTTTGTAGATAGTGACATTCAATGGTGTACTCATTCAACACATGGTTACTGAGCTCATTGAACACTAACTAGTCTGTGTTCATTAAATTAAGTACAGAAGAAATGCGAGCAAATCCCTGTCAATGAATAGCATGCATTCTAGGACAGTCTCACAACAAAGAGGGAAATAAATTGGTTCACAGTATAATGTCAGGTATGGAAATGAAAGTATCACGATAAGGTAGTGAAGAGAGAGGCCATGGAGTTGGGTGGGGAGGTTTTTGAACCACTTGACAGAAAACACTTCTTTTAGGAAAAACTAGTCGGAGAAGAGACCGGAAGGTGGGAAGAGAAGGAGATATTCAGCCAGATAACAGCCAAAAAGAGGCTTATTTTGCATCCTGTTCCATTCAAGATGCAGTGTCCCAGGATAAGTAAGGCATAGTATCATTATACTAAAAATAAAAGTACATGTAAAGCAGAGAAATAAGCAGTAACAGATTAGCTTTATTCAGAAAGTGAACGGCAGGGCTGTGGTTCAGGATTGATCTTGACCCCGCCATTTATTTGCCTAACGTGCCATGATTCCCAGGATTTTTGAAAGAAGCCCACAACAGTCAAAACCTGTGCCTCAAAAGACAAGCTTATGCTTCATGCTCTTCCTGCCTTGACTATACACCATGTTTTCCCACCATCACAGAGCCTGCTAAGCATGTGAAACTTGCCACTGCTTCTTGTTCTGTCTGTCTTGTCTAATGGCCTGAAAGCACCAGTTAAGATGTAGTGTGTGGACTCAGGGAAAAAGTTGCTGAGTGCATTAGAAACACCAGCTGAAATATAGAAACTATGTTGAATTAAATGTAAATCTTTAAGTATCAAGGAGGGTGTTTGTGTTAGGCAGGGTTCTTTAGAGAAACAAAGCCAGGACACTTATGATTTTATATATACATATATATATAAAACTCACTTCCATTAAATAGGTAAGGTAATATAATGGAAGTCCATCAACTCACGTGGGCTGCCAAGTCCGAGGTCAAGGAAGCAGACAGCAGAGTCCTCCCTGTGGCCAAGAAGCAGAGTCTGCCCACAGGCAGCAATCAGCAGGGTGGATCACCAACAGTAGCTCAGGAGCTTAGCAAAGCAGGTCTGGATGGAATATAGAACATAAGCAATGCAAGGCAACAGATCCGCCAGCAGCCTCAAGCTCAGCGATGTACACACCAGCAGCTTGGTGAAGCAGACCTCAAAGGAGCCTCAAGCTCTAGCACCACCATCCACAGGTTGGCTTGGCCCACAGGTGGTGTAACTCACAGGTTGAGGCAGAGAACTAGCTAAAGCTGCAAGCTCTGATCACCAGAGAGCAAGAGATAGGGGGTCAGGTCTTGCAGAGCCATTTATCTCTTTGCCCTCTAATCAAACTGCAGTCTGATTAATCCCAGATGCTCCTATTGGCCAGTATTTTTGGTCTTTCTATGTCTAGGTAAGAGAAGAGCTTGACCAAAGTAAAGTGGTACTTCTGGAGGAATACACTTACATTTACCCAGTGCTCTTTCCACCCTACTGAACACTCGTGGTTTTTCACATTCTCAAAATTGCTTTCTCTTTCTCACTACCAGTATTTTCCTCCTCAAATGATCCAAGGAGCAGACTTCCTGCCATGTCTAAGGACTTCACAGTTCATTAACACAAAGCCAGCCTGTTCTTGAACATGTGGCCAATATCACAGGGCAGGAACATCAACAATATTATTTTCAAAAGAGAATCTAAAGACATGCTTGGTGACAACGTCGCACCACGAAGCCACAGTATCACTGATACTGTGAGCACTTGAGGAGTTGATCTATTCATTCCCACTAATGATATGCGTATAGCTCTGTGGTCATTCATAAATCAGGCCAGGATGATTCAAACACAACCATCCATTCAACTCTGGAAGCTGACACACCATGCAGCAGCTGGATCGGCAGGACTCCCAGGCACCCTGAGCTTACTCCGGGTCCCGCCTGGGAAGTTCACAGATGTACTAAGGTCCCAGGAAGAAAGGTTCCCTCAGCACTCACCAACTATAAAACAAAGAGAAAAGACTATTTGGTGAAAGAAAGAGCTCTGTGCTTTATTATAATTGCCCCTCAATACTTAATCTTGGCTGCTATCTCACTGAAGAAAAGAAGCATTTGTTTGTAATCTTTCCGTTTCTTGTTTTGAAGCAAAATCATGCCAAAGAAGGTCACATTTTCACCTTTGAATAATTTATAATATTTAGAGTGAGCAGTCTGAGTTGATTAAAAAAAATTGTTAAGGTTTGTTTGTTTTTAAACGATCAATTTTGCAGGTTCCACATATATGCTCATGTGGTAAACTGACAGATATAGATATTTCTGTATGCACATAAATATTTATACACACGCACCAAGCCTCCACATGGACATTGAGGCTACCCCGAGAACTTTATGGAATTCATACCTACTCGCTGCCTTCAAGTAGACAGAGGTAACACTGAGTGGTCTCAAACTGCTGACCTTGCGGTTTGATCTCACTATGCCACCAGGACTCCTAGGAATCCTAACTAGAAACCCAAAGCCCTAGCTACAACTAAGGAACAAGCTTTGTTAAAAAACAATGCACGAAGAAGGAAAAGATTTAAAAAGATAAAGGGAGCAACTGGGAAGAATGGGTGACAACGGTGCTGAAATTAGCCAAGTCCTGCACAAAGCGGAGAAAGACCAGAGGGCACGCCATGAAAGGCCAGATCCATTTCAAGCAGCTTCCAGAGCAGACACATGCCCAGCCTGTAAAGGTTCCCTCTGGTGATAGGCATTTCCTTTCCTGCCCTCCTGTTTTAGTTTCCTTGCAAGAACACCCGGTATGAAAAGAGTTCTTACTTACATGTTTATATCTCATTATAGAATGAATCAGTTTCTGCGGGTACTGCCCTTGAGAATGTGTGTGACAGTGCCCTTCTCCATGCCACCCCACTGCCCCTGGGGCTATCCAAGACTGTAACACTTTTGGGGAGTAGAAAGTTCTATCCTCTTTCCTCATGGGGACTGGTGGTTTCGAAGTGCTAAGATTGCTTTTCAAAGCTCAACCTGTAACCAACTACAATACCAGGGCTCCTAACAGTATTCCTAGAATCTGCACCTGGATCTCTCAGGTGGCCTCAAAATCCCTAGGGTGTCCAGGGTCAATGTTTGTTTACATTTTTTTTTATTTCTGTTCTTTTTTTAAGTTTTAATAATTTTATTGGGGGCTCTTACAGCTCTTATAATAATAATTACATCAACTGTATCAAACACATTTGTGCATATGTTGCCATCATCATTTCCAAAACATTTTCTTTCTACTTGAGCCCTTGGTATCAGCTCCTCTTTTTTTCCCCTTCCTCCCCCAAACTCCCACCCTCGTGAAGCCTTGGTAATTTATAAATTATTTTTATTTTTGTATTTCACACCATCTGCTGTCTCCCTTTCCCACACTTCTGTTGTTCATCCTCCTGGGGAGAGGTGGGGTTGTACCTGGATCATTGCTATCAGTTCCCCCTCCCCCCCCCCTTTCCTCCCCACCTTCCCTCTACCCTCATGGTATCGCTACTCTCATTATTGGTTCTAAGGAGTTGATATATCCTGGATCCTGTGTGTCAAGAGCTCTCATCTGTACCAGTGCACATGCTCTGGTCTAGCCAGATTTGTAAGATAGAACTGAGGTCATGATAGGGGGTGAGGAAGCATTAAAGAGCTAGAGGAATGTTGTGTGTTTTGTCAGTGCTATACTGCACCCTGGCTGGCCCATCCCTCCCTTGTGACCTTTCTGTGAAGGGATATGCAATTGTCTACAGATCGGCTTTGGGTCTCCATTCTGACCCTCCTTGTTCGCATCAAAATGGTTGTTTGTTTGGGGTTTTCTGATACCTGATACCATCGACACCTCATGATCATCAGGGGTTTGTGTGCTTCTTCCAGGTGGGCTTTTTCGCTTCCCTGCTAGATGGCTGGTTGTTTAACTTCAAGCCTTTAAGACAGGGGTCAATGTTGAGTTAATGTTGAACTGCTATGTTTAAGGTCAGTGATTGAAACTCACCAGCTCTTCCTCTGGAAAAGAGGAGGTTATCTACTTCCCTAGAGATTGACAAATAGCCTCGTAAACCATACACAGGGTGGCAATGACTCAGAATGAATTTGATGGCAGTGGGGTTTATTGGACTTCAATTAGTGAACTCTAATGGATTGAATGAAAAATAAACCGTCAGGAGTTTTGTCTTTTTGAGCACTGTCATTACTGTACTGTAGTTACTACTGTACTATAGTTACTGTCATTACAATATCCTCAAGAGATTAAGCATCATAGGAAATGAGTAATTAAAAATGATCTTCCTTGAATGAGGGGGAATGCAGATTGAGGACCCAAAGCCCATCTGTAGGCAATTAGACATCCCCTCACAGAAGGATCACGGGGAGGAGACGAGCCAGTCAGGGTGCAGTGTAGCAATGATGAAACATACAATTTTCCTCTAGTTCCTAAATGCTTCCTCCCCCCACCATTATGATCCCAATTCTACCTTACAAATCCAGATACACCAGAGGATGTACACTGGTACAGATAGGAACTGGAAACACAGGGAATCCAGGACAGATGATCCCTTCAGGACCAGTGGTGAGAGTGGCGATACCGGGAGGGTGGAGGGAAGGTGGGGTAGAAAGGAAGAACTGATTACAAGGATCTACATATAACCTCATCCTGGGGGACGGACAACAGAAAAGTGGGTGAAGGGAGACGTCGGACAGTGTAAGACATGAAAAAAAAATTTATAAATTATCAAGGGTTCATAAGGGAGGGGGCAACAGGCAGAGAGGGAGAAAATGAGGAACTGATACCAAGGGCTCAAGCAGAAAGCAAATGTTTTGAGAATGATGATGGCAACAAATGTACAAATGGGATTTGTACAAGGGATGTATGTATAGATTGTGATTAAAGTTGTATGACCCCCCAATAAAATGATTTTTTTAAAAAATGATCTTCCTCTTAGCTAACCTCCAGTTTTGGTCAAGTTGAGTTTGACCAATGGAGCCTCCTTATGTGTCAGACCAGACCTGTACTCCATAGGCTTTTCCATGGTTAGATTTTTGGAAGGCGATCACCAGGTCTTTATTCCAAGGTACTTCAAGGTAGATTCCAACCTGTAATCTTTCAGTTAGCAGCGAGCGTAGAAACTGCATCAAACAAGGGCTCTAACTCCCTAGTTAAAAAACAACAAGCAAACCTCACTGCCGCAAAATCATTCCTGAGCCTCCGTGGGGTAATGAGTTATGCGTCGGCTGCTAATCAGACAGTAGTTGGAAACCACCAGCCACAGCACAGGAGAGAGCTGAGGCCTTTACCTCCTGGACAGATTTATTGTCTTGAAAACCCACAGGGGCAATTCTGTCCTCAAGGGTCACTCTGAGTCCCTAATAGGAGTTATAAAATGGACACCCCCCACTCCCGGCCGAGCCTGTGGCAGAAAGTGTCCACACAGGTGACAACCTGGGGGTTTTCCTTTCTCGAGCCACAACGTGTTAGGAAGGTCCTGTCTGCCTTCGTCCAGAGAGAGCAGGCCGAGCGCAGGCCCGTCACTGCACTCGGAGAACTCGGAGCGTAGTTGCCAGATGGAAATGTTGCTTCTTCCAACCAGCGTGCAGTGTAAAACCCAGTGCAGCGACTCCAAGGTGCACTATTCCTATCGATTTGGCCTTGGTTAGAGGACTTGATTGTGACATGTTTAGTAAGTTGTTGGGAGTGAATTTTGACGATCAAGAGAAAGCACATATCCATCCTGTAAATTTTAGAAGTCTAATGAGGAATGTCCTGAATTGGATAGTAAAGTGTCTCTTGGGAATGATGGCAGCATAAAATGTATGTATCTGCTCATTCTAGGCAACGCTGATCCTGAAGGCCAGGGCTACTGTCAAGCAGGATTTAGTTTGGATTTTTATAAGGTAAATTTTTTTAATCTTCTGAATTTTGTGTAATATATATTTATCATATTTGTCTATTTTATTTTGTTACATATTTATTCTTACACTCCCTACCCCATCCACTACCAGGAACAACAACAAAAGAAACATTAAACACATATATAGCCAGTTTGTGTATTTCCTTATAAATATTTCCTTATATATTGCTTTATTTTTTAATTTTCATTATATTTTAACTAAAGTAACACTAATATATACACATAGTAACCTATTAAATTGTACAGAAATACATATGAGAAGAGGCATCTAATCTTCCCACCCATCCGTTCTTAAATGACACTTATTAAAACTCACTGAAGAAATGTTTCTAAAGAGTTCACAAGAATTATAAATTGTTTTATCTCTTACCCCAAATTGAATTAATATTACAGTGAAAACTCATATGGTCTTTCATGAAATTAAAAGCAGAGGGGACCTCAAAGACTACGGGAGAGATCATCAATAGATGAACATTTCATTAACTATGAGCTCGTCGTGTACACTGTACCCTTGTCTGCTTTTGTTTTGTTTTGTTCCCCATCGACAGTTCAAGAGGCTGGGTATGGAACGTGGGACCATAAGTGGAAGAGAAAATGTTTATGTCTGCAAGTCTGGAGTTTTTGTTCTCTCTCCTGGGAAAGGAGTTGGTTGCAGATGTAGGAGTGGGGATGGTGGTGGCATTATTGTAACCTTGAGATAAATTGGAACAGAATTTCTTTTATTGCAAAAGCTCAAACGACCATGTCCACTAAATTACAGAGCATTAAACATGTAGATGCTTTGTTTACCTGAGGCAGTGCCAAAAATATCTAGGGGAAGAATACAACTGCCCTGAATAGAGTCAAATTAAACTCATTTGAGATGATAATGACACTATATAACTGAAAGCAAAAACACAAAAAGGGGGAAACAAAATAATTAACCTGTATAACTCAGATTATAGGAAAATGCAACAAAACACATAATGACTCTATAGGACAGAACAGAACTGCCCCTGTGGGTTTTCAAGGCTGTAAATCTTTATGAAAGTAGGCTGTCTATAGGAGCCTTTCATTTAAAAAATTGATTTTTTTTGTATAACAAATTGTTGGAGTAATGCTTATTAACAATTGTTTATCATCCTTTGTTTTGTAGAATGGCAATCTCATAGTCGGAGGACCAGGAAGTTTTTATTGGCAAGGTATGCTCTATTAGCAGAGAAGACATACATGCGACCAACAGGGAGATGAAGCAGAAATGACGTGAAACTTTTTATTCCATTAATTTTATATCCACAGTTATTGCTTCTCCAGGAAATGAAGCATTATTTCAGTTCATGTTTTGTTATGAAAATCGCTCTTTAAAAAACCACTGAAATTTAACCATCTATTCAGATAGTGTTTTATTTTTTTAAATCATTTTATTGGGGGCTCATACAACTCTTATCACAATCCATACACACATCCCTTGTGTCAGGCCCATTTGTACATTTGTTGCCCTCGTCATTCTCAAAACATTTGCTGTCTACTTGGGCCATTTGTCTCAGCTCATTTTTCCCCTCCCTACCTCCCTGCCCCTCTCCCTCATGAACCCTTGATAATTTATAAATGATTATAATTTTGTCATATCTTA